AACCACACATCCAAGAATACATGACAGCTATCAAATATGGACGCAATATGTAAACCAAACTTACCACCAGCCCTCCAAGCAAATCCACCTGGGGAACTCACTCTGGAATTCGGTTTCGTTGATCGTACATAGAGCACAAGAGTGTCGGCTTGTCGAGCGGGTTGCCAATGCGACTAAAATAAAACCATGCGCATCTACGGTTGCATTGTGCCCGGTCTGCCGCCGACCTCCCATAAGTGCCTTCGGAGGAATTGCGGACCCCAGAGATTAGCGTCAGGGTGCGTTATCATTGGCCCCTTACGGCGAATCACTACCGCCTCATGCTTCATGGAGTTTACACCTTGTGCTCACGCAATTTTATGCACTGCATTTAGTAGTTATCATGCTGTTAATAAAACATCTCTCTTCACCTAGCTGTTTTGTCCTCGTATAACGGGGGAACTATTTCGGGTACGCATGTGTGTAGTGATGTTGAGGGCGCTTGGCTGGTCGTTACACCTCACAGACGCTTCAATGGCTTGCGCAGAAATCATGTCACCACAGACCGCCAAATCATGAACGTTGCAGTGTGCGTTTCGGTCGCAGAAGCGCACGTGACGCACAGCTTGGCACACGACCTGCGCAGACCTGATAGGCAAACGTTTGCAAAGAACGACAACAACGGACAATCGCCTTGCGACCACCCGATGAGATATTTTGAGTAAAACGCAGTTCAGATATTCGCCTTCGGGAGCAGTCTGTACCAAAACCCTAGTTTCCGCACCGGCAACCAAAGGGTCGAACACCGTTCAGTGGTAATGGTCACCTACTGAGCCAAGTAGGTTAATCCTTGTGCACCTTGACCTGAAAACCGGTGAAGAACAATAACGACTCAGTCAGTTTCCACATGTTAGCAGACTCGATCCGGTTAGTTGTTTTAGTACCAAGGGTGACAGAATGCTTTTGAGCACGATTCACCCAGGTACTCAGGCCGAACAACCAGTGCTTGTTGAAGTATGAGCAATGTTCTTGGTTACCGTCTGTAATGTTGATGTCATAAACCTCAAAGCCGGTCACCACCATATGCAATGGTGGTCATTTTCCTCCTTTCTCGTCCCTCACCAAAGCATAGTCATCAGAGAACCATCGGCTCACGACAACTGTGAATATGTGGTGAATGCCACTAACGTTGCATCAAAGTGAGAAAGTCATTCGTAACCCGCCCCTGAAATGATGCTGACAGACCAACTGATTTTAACGTTTGATGTTTCGGGGTTACTCGGCACCCAATTTCGTTACGGCTTGTGCGTCCAAAACGCATCTTTCCAAAGGGGTTCCATGTATTGATACACAGAATCGAGGCCCTCCCACAAGTCCATCGGGTGGAGTTGTTCTTGCCGTCTGGCGGTTGCCGTTGACCTGAAAGCCACAAGCATAAAAGGGTGAAGCACTGCCCTTTAACATCTCAGCGCGGGGAGTAAGCTTCCTGGCTCAAGGGGTCGCGTAGAAAAGAGTCTAGTAGTTCCGTTAGTTCGGTTCTGGATGTAGGATGCACAACCGTCAGAGTAATGTTATGCCACGCACCAAATACGCAAAATGAGAACAACAGTTGCCCAATAGAATTGTACGCTTTAATCATGTCAACGTTTATTATGTTACTGTTATCATGTCCCCCTAGTGTCAAAGGTGAAAATAATGTTAGACAAAACTCGTTTACACACTGCATATGTAAGAATTGGGTCCCCTCGGAGGCGACGAAGCGCCAGGAGAGAGAGCTCAAGCACCGCGAAACGCACTTCGTAGCCAACGGATTTTAAGCCGGTAGCCATTTCCTTAGAACCTCGCTGGAAAATCTTAACGAGGGTAACGTCTTTCCTGCGTCCTGAGCAGACAACTTGGTTGACGTATTCAAAGAGCCGTCTGAGGTAGGCGACATACAGTATTTGGAGGTCCATGCGACTAATACGGGAGAAGGTGCGCCGAATCATCTGTAAAAATTCGAATGTCTTTTGAGCCGACTTCTCATGGTAAGTGAGAACGGAGTGTGTAAAGGGAGCTAAATACCCTAACCCCTTTTGGCATCTATCTTCGTAGTCTTTTGGTTCATTCTCACCATGCAAGACAACGGCATTCGCCGAGCCCTTTCAAAGTGGGTGCGCTTTTCGCCATTCAGGGATGGTGCCCTTTTGGTTCATTCTCACCATGCAAGACAACGGCATTCGCCGAGCCCTTTCAAAGTGGGTGCGCTTTTTGCCATTCAGAGGATGGTGCCAGCCTAACGACCACTGCTTTACAGCGTCCACATGCCTTTGGACAGCACTGGAATTTGAGCCCCAGGATTTCAAGCCATTCGCAGAAAGACGACATGGACTTGAAAGAAAGTTTGGAAGGCCGTTGACGTAGATCAAAAACAGCAGCGGCCCCAAAACGGAGCCTTGAGGAACTCAGGTGTAGACCGGTGCTGGGGTGAAGCAGGCCAAGCCTACTATCAATCTAAATGTTCTTTCTGATAGGAACATCCTAACTCAGCGTAGAATTTCCCCTTGTATCCCGGAAGACTCAATTTTCTGGAGCTGCGGACGTGTGGGACCCGACCGATTGCTTTTGAGAAATTGAGATACACGGCAGCAGAAATGAGTTTCTCGTCCTTAACGTGGATTACGCTGATATAGCTATGAGCGTTTTCCAGTGCAACAGCGGTTTTAGGAGATATCAAGTTGTTGGAAGGATGGCCCTCTTCAGAATGCGCTCCGTCACCTTTAACGACGCGCAGTGGGGCTCATAAGCATTTAGCTGCCAGGCGGTAGTCGGTCACCAGTTGTGTGGATTGGGGTGGCAATCGCTTCCGTTCAAGCAGAAGGAAGGTTGCCTTTGTCAAGCGTCTGGCGGGACACCAGGTAGAAATTCTTCGCCACTGTGAACAAAGTTTCCCTCAGCATCACTGGATGAACGTCGTTTGGGCCCAGTGTGCAGGACGGGTTTGTCTTGTGCAAGATTTGATGAATTTCTCCCTCCGCGAAGAGCAGGTTTTTGAGAGGCCGCTCGTATTTACGCCTCGACAAGATTGAATTTGACGAGGAGGCTGAAGCAGATTAACAGCCTGCACAGTGTTCTCTCTAGGCTGCAGATGCCACTATTGTGTCACTTGTGGGTTTCCCTTTCCTGACCCCCAGGGAGAACGCGGTTTTCTTATTCTTGCGGTCATGTCCCCTGCAGTTCAAGAGCACATTCTTGCCTTTCCGGGTGAGGTCTGAAATGGCTGTTTGTATCGTATGTTCCATTGGCGGATTGCTGACTTTTGGCGATATTTTGTGGAACGCTAGCCTAATTCTGCCTCCCGTGGACAACGTTTTGGAAAGGTAGTTTGGACATTAAATCCATTTAGGCAGCTTGTTGTTCATTCAAGTGCGTGCAGGTTCTTCTGAGATGATCACCGCTTCATGCTTGTTAACCTTCTGGATAATGGTATTGTATGACGCATTCAATGGAGCTGGTCCCCGTTTAAATTTATCAAGAAAGATGCGCATCCCTGAAAAGCATGCATGGGAGAAATTGTGGGTTCACGTTTGAGGTTCGGGATGATTACCAGCAGCAGATGAAATCAAAGTGGTCGCTATGTCCCAGTGGAGCGCTAACACCTGATCAACGAATTGTCTTTCGTTTGCGATGACCAAATTAGGAAAGGATGATAGTTTGCTTACGCGTTATCTGATGGATGTGACATGTTGAGTCTAAGCGTTCTGTTGACCGAATTCTGTCAGCGCCGCTGCAAAATGACTACCGAACCCGACGCTCTGCGGCTCCATCCAGGAAGCCTTGGGGCGTCATACCACCTACCTGTGAGATATGTGTGAATTGGTAGGTGGAGTAGAGTTTCTCAAGGGTTTGCGGGGAAATTGGTCATCTCATGAAGCACTTGGCGGAAAGTGTTGGCCGTGCAGAGAAGAGAACCGGCCCCATACAGGGAATGGAAATCGACAATATATCGCAAAAAGGTGCAAGACTGGTATCGGAGAGGGCAGCCAGGATGGACAGGGCCACATGTAAATATACAGCATTTCCATTGATTATCGTGCCGAACACCGATCGCTTGCAACTGACGTGGTTGTGAACGCCGAGCATCCTCCTTCTAAGGGTAAGGGGCTTTGGCAGTATCGAAGTTAGCCTAAGGCCATGCCACATCGGCTGCCGAATGGTGTCGTCAGCCCGATTACCCCCATTTCCGCTTGCATCACACTGCTCTTGGCGCCTTCTTTCGCCTTCACAAAGTCTTTGTATCTTCATCCCCAATAGAAGGACTCTTTGTAGGCCTACTCCTTAGGATGGGAAATTTCGCTCTCCTTGTATCGACCTTGGATGCATTATCTACGGGGGCGAGAAAGCTCTAGTGATTAAACGCGGGTGTGTTGACTGGACGGCCCGTGGTTCGATACCGACCTCTGCCTCTCGGCTTCGCCTGCCTAGGCTTGGGCAACCTGGCAGCATATCAGCCCTCATGCTTCCTTCGGGTGGCATGGCAGCTAGACACCAGAAGGGTGGTACAGCCGAACGATTTTATCTACGGATTAATCCGCAACGACAGCCTCGGCCATCTTGCGCCAATATATCTTGTTGCTTTCAATGTTGGTACTCCAAAGCAAGCAGAAAAAGAAGCCCATCTTGCCGCGATAATGGACTTGATTGATTTTGATGTTTGCTATATACCTGTAACAACGGTATTTTCTCAGCTTTTCCGGTCTGAACCTTCCAAGCTAGCGTTCCAGTCAAACGCCCACCAAATGTGCACATGTATTAACCCACAGAACTGGCCCAAAAACGTGTAAGGTGATTCGTACATAAAGTGTATGCGGCGACGAGATTTCGGAAACTCTGGCGCCTTATGAATGCGCCACTGGCAGCGGACATTCGTTGGATACTGGATCGTTTGGTGCAGAATTTCGGCCTATCAAAGCGGGCACTGATGATGGGCCGCAAAGCGTGCTTTTGGCCAATCGCCTTCGGGTGTGACCTCTTGGTCGTAGCAACGCTCAAGTGCGAGCGGTAAAGCATACGGTCTGTCAGTTTGATTGATTTATATGTAACTACTGGTGATGTACGACCTTGCTTATCGGGCTTCGGCTCATGAGCCTTCTGTTTTCCATGCACAAAAATCGTTGTAAACCCCTACCTTCGGAGAATTACTGTCCTCTGGTGCTTCCGTACTTGCATACTACAGCGGTATCGGTGGGGAATTCCGCGTAGCAGTCATTGAAGTTTGAAGCACAGCCACTAAACCGTCTGCTTCATGAGTCTCTACTCGCTTTCGCCTGCGCCCTTCGGACGATCCAGAAGCCGCTGCGACATTGTCCTAAGTTACCTGGTGGAAGGATCATTGCCGGCTGGATACCTGTTGATGACCATGCTCCTCTTCACTGTTCATTTGGCAACATGCATAAAGGAATCTGTTTGTTACGCCTTCTACAGATTCACCCAAGCAATGAGTATCGATCAGGTCAATCTCAATGCTTAAATCGTGAACAAATGTTCGTACCCGTCCCGAACATAATTTGGCCCGACGAATTATCATACGTCAAGTGGAAGTGAGCATGCACGCTGATCGTGAAACTGGTAGACAGGGAACGCTAAGGAATTGGAAGAGGACCAGAAATCCTGGAATGTTCCAAGACTATTTAAGCTGATCCGTATGATTGGTCTCCGGAAGCTACCTGTGAGGGAAACGACTAAGGGCCAGTGACACGATCATATTTAAAAATGAATGACTCCTCGACGCCTGAGCCGATCACTTTGAAGAAAAAGTCCCGTTGTCACCTGGCGCATATTTGCATCTTGGCACTTCAGTAGAAATCTGGATGGTGAGCCTGAAATTAGTCCTATGGTCTCGAATGTTCATGACTACATATATTCTCTCAAGCACCGCCGACTCCTGTTTGCCTTTGACCTTGCAGAGGGGTGTAAAAGGGATTGCGGAAAGCCTGTGTATTCTCGGTGTGGCTTGCCTTTCATGATGGGGTCCGCGTGGTCTACTGTGTCCATGGTTGGTGGCACTCCAAGGTATGGCTGCTGATCGTTGTCAATCGCTTCCTTGTCAGTTTCCCTCCAGGCTGCATCTCGGAATGATTGTAGTAAACTCTCAGCAAGTCCCTTCCGCCTCTTCTATTCTTTCCTTAACCATGAGGCTTTCGAATAAATTGTGGTAGTTTGGCAGAAACGCATCAGTGCTGAATACACATGTTAATTCGGACAGTTCTGTCGTCCGGTATAGGTCATTACTAAATTTTCTTGAGGAACCTAAATAGCACAGTTCCCGACCTATGGCTGTTACCTTGTTGTGATCGTCTGGCTTCCGTGCTGTGAGCTGTACCGACTGGAACACAGTTCCAAAGGTTCCAAAAAGGTTCAATTATTCTAGAAAGGCCAACAAAGATCAGCACCACGAAGATCAGTGGGTCCCCGTACTGCGAGGAATCGTATTACAAGGTGGTGTGGAGGTTAACTCGTACTGCCCTCGGCGATAGGAATGTAATGGCAGTAGGGTGAGCAGGTGACCAGCATGTCCATAGTTGAGAGGCAACGGTGCTGCCTTTCCCCGATGGAGGAAGGGTTAGAAAAGGTCGGTTCTAAAAACCGCACATTCCAATCGCCCAACCGTTGACAGTGACCACCGGCACATTGTTCAATGCAGTCGAAATACTTTTAAAACCGAAGAGTGGTGCTGCTCATTGGACACCTGCTGTGCGCAGCTGCACTTGGACTAAGACAGTAATGCCTTATTTTCTGCATCATCGGACCAGACCGGCTTCCTGCAATCAAGTGGGCGAGACTGTTGAGTCATTGGCTCCTGGAAGGGTAACCCAGTGGTCAGGGCGTGAATCTACCAGTCTATTTCTTGAACGAGGCAGTAAGAAAGAGAGTTTCCGGTTGTGCAACGGGTACGTGCATTGAAGAATGTGTCCAGCACTAGAAACTGCGTTGGTCGGGACAGGTGTTGTGTATGCTTAGCCATCGTTTGCCGAAGATAGTGCTGTTTTCTATGCCCAACTCAGAGTGGCGGAAGCAGAGAGGTGGCCATCCAGTGACCTGGCAGTGTTATGAAAGAAATCACGAAACGTTTGGTGCTATCGGTGCTACTCGCCTTCCAAGATGAAGACCGCGAATCCTCACTGCACCCGGTTGGAGACGCTGAAAGATATGGCTGCCAACCGATGTCAGTTGCGAGCTTGCTGTCAGTTTCTATCCAGATTGCCTGAATGAATATTTGGAGTTGTAGGCACTTTGGCACCTTTATTCTTTTCTTCACAATAAGGCTTTGAATTAAATCATGGTTATATGGCAGCAAAGCATCGGTGTTAAACACTGACGTCATGCTGTCGATGATGATGATGACTATCAACTGGCAGGTTCGTTGTTCAAACCAAACGTCAGCATTTTGACTACTTCTGTTTAGGCTTGGGCAACCTGACGGTATTTTAGCCCTCGTCTTTCCCTCAGGTGGAATGGCGGCTAGGCACCGAACGATCGGTTATTTTTATTTTTTATTTATCATGGAACTGCCATGGAGTGCTCACCTCAAGAAACCGAGGTACATTACACCCCAAAAGGACTAGTGGACCTAGACTGTGCAGATGACATTGTCTTTTTATTTGACGACCACCAACCCGCATACCCTCCTAATTTTAATTGTGATCTCTGGTCTCAGTATGAAACTGCAATGTATTGGTTTAGGATTTCAAACCCCCCTGCGTCCCTCTAAAAAGCCAGGTAGATGAACTCAGTTTTGTTGACCGGTTTAGATATCTTGGTGGTTGCATGACTCGTAAATGTTGCGTGAGAGAGGTCAATGCAGCCATAAAAGCGTGAGCTACATTTGTAAACTCGCATTTATTATGGCACCAAACAAATTTCAATACAGCCAAAGGGCCGTGTGTACAAGGCAAATGTAAGAACAGTCTTATCGCGTGGCCGTGACGATTGGCCCGTCTGATCCGACATCAAACGGACTAAAACAGTTGATCTTCAGTGCCCCCGCGGTATAACAGACGTTAGCTGGCTGCAGGCATTTCGCAATAACGTGATGCGTAAGTAAGTACCTGGTGGTGAATCAGAATCACTGCAACATTTTATAAAGCTCATCAATGTAAGGTGGTTGGGACTTGTCATGCTCATGCGCAACCACTAGTCAGTTCAAGGGGGAGGAGTCTGTGAATGAAGAACCCGATTACTTTTCACAGAAACCATCGTTTCCAACTCAAACCTCTTGTTGCAAAAGGGTCGTGCAGAATGAGGATAGGCCATGGCTTAGCATTGCAATGTGAAGGCGGCTACCATCAGACTGTGATACCGTCGCGTTTCCCTGGATTCTTCGCGATTCTCTTTGAACGTCGTTGGAGATCTTACAGGGCGTAGCACGCAAGCTGACCACCTAACTAGAGATTGTCTGTCATCTTGTGTTGGGCTCATGCTGACTGAGGTCCGCAAAACATTGGGTGAATTCCACCGATGGCAACTTCGACGCACTGCTCAGCTGCCTTTATCTAGTCGCTGTTTTAAGATGCAGGAACCTTGTTGGTCTTTCCCCTGTGGTAGGCCTGTGCCCATCCCTTTATTACTGGCTTATTACTGTCTACGATGATGGAGATGGCGTCCGGTGGGGTGAGGGACCGACCCTTGGTGACTAGACTATTGTTTGGGGGGATCGGAGCGATTTTCCTGTGATATATTTGGATTGTGCATCTGCGAGCGCGGTGGAATGTTGTATTTTTGGTTGGCGCTCATTTTCCAAGTGCTAAATGTGTCCTATGATTTACTTGGCGAAAATTCAAATCTGTTTTTTGTTCGTGACGGTGGTAATGATGTCAGTAGTTGGCTATTTCATTTTCCGTTCATTTTCAGATGCTTCATTCTGCTCGTAATTCTTTACGGCTTTTATCGGTGGCTCGCGCACCTAACCTCCGTTTCATCTCGGGGGCAGCACACACCCTCGAGGTCCGTCACAAAATCGAGGAAACTCGCGATAAGATCGTACTTGGGGGTGGTCAGAAACGTATCGATGCGCAGCACAAGCGTGGCAAGCTGACGGCACGCGAACGTATCGATCTATTGGCCGATCCTGACACATTTGTGGAGTACGACGCCTTCATGGAACATGACTGTTATGACTTTGACATGCAAAAACAGCGGGTCACTGGAGACAGTGTTGTTACCGGTCACTGTCAGGTCAATGGAAAAACTGTCTACCTGTTCAGGTAAGCTTTTCAGTGTGTTTTCTCGAATTCATAATTTGAGATTTAACTTCCTGTGTCCTGGGCGAGATGGATCAAGTGGTTAGAGCGCGAATTTATTGACCGGAAGGTCCGTGGTTCGAATCCGACCTCCGCCACTCGACTTCCCCTGTCTAGACTTGGGCAACCTGGCAGTATCCCAGCCCTCGTGCGTCCTTCGTGTTGCACGGCAGCTAGGCACCGAAGGGGTGCTACAGCTGAACGATTTTTCCCTGTATCAATTGCGGCAAATTTCATGTATTGTTAGCACTACTACGTTTTACGGTTTTTACAAGACAATATTGGCGCCAATGGCTTGGAGTTTAGGCGTACCTACTGAATCGCGCCAAGTTTGTTTCATTTTTCGTTTGTTTAGATACGGTTACATACCGTCTGTTGCAGATTGACTATTTTTAGTTCATACCCGTTGCAATCTGGTATCTCATGACTTCGACAATCAGTACTTGGACACTGACTTTTCGTACGACCTAACCAAACAAACTATAGTAGCCTCTATGTCCGCGCCGTTTGCATCCGACAGAACTATCCGACTTAATTACTGGTCACGGTATGACTTATGCTCTGTTCGACTTATTTTTGACTGTGATCTTTTGTATACCACTTTCAGATGTACGTTTCTGGGTGGAAAGTACTGGGTTATTGTTGTCTCAACTGACTCTGAGAACATGCACTTTTGTTCGGGTTCTTGTCCGTAGCTTCATTCTATGCTATTTTTTGTGAGACAGCTGTTTCCGGGCTTTTTTGTATGGTCTCTTACAGATATAACGACTGGAATTAATTACCCTAGTAGGCGCAACACCACGGGGTCGAAAGTTCATTTTACCACTGAGCATAACAAACTCAGTTTAAGTTCATCGGGCTTTGAAATTGAATTTATTCTACTTCGCTGCTCATCACCAGTGAGAACACCACCAGTGCTTCACTGCCTTCTAAAGCCTTCTAGTCGAAAGAATGAAGATGGGATCTTGGGCTAGCCCACTGCAAACATCCGGGCTACCTACACCTCCAACATTCAGCCAGACATTGTAAAACTGACAGCATGAACGCCACTGACATTGGGCAGCTGCCATATCATTCATTGTTTCTACCCAAGAACAGGAAAGGTCACTTGAACGAAATCTTGTAAGGCGAACGGCATCAACAGCACACAAACGTTCTTTAACATCCTTCATTTTCTCCCGTCACATATCCTATCAATCTCAAGGTTTATAGTACTCGAGGTCAGGCGCGGAAAACAGTGCTCGTGATAGGTAGTAAGTTGGCATACGTAGTCTTTCAGCTGTAACACCCATTTCGATGCTTAGTCGCCATGCCACCCGAAGAAAGCATGCGTAATACATGACCAAGTCACCTTAGCTTTCAGTGCTGGATGCATTCTTTGAGTGAGGTCTTTTCTGTTTCCTCAGAAATCCTTCTTCTGGTCGTTTCATTTCGAATTCATTGACTCCGCCCGATTCCAGCCATAGGGACATCGGAGGTCAAAAACCTGAAGATTTTACAGATCCTTCACCCGAAGTAACCGTGTCTATCAGCTGTAGTGTGGAATCACAACCATGAATTCCATACCACTTTAGTATTAATAATAGTTGCATGGTCATGAAGTTTGTTGTCCTTTGGAATACCTCTGTTGCCTTCTTGAGGGAAGTTCGCTTCTTAATTCCCCCAACGACTCCGTGAGCTTAACTCCCGAGCAATTGAGAGGCAATCTCAGTGCTCATGGTCCACATCAGGTCTGTGTCAGTTGCTGCCAATAGGTATATATCGCTAGCTTTTCCGAGTACGGATAATAATTTGCATACTACAGACACGCTGGCTTGTATCTACCCATTTGTAGATAAAAATCAACACTAATTCTCACTCATCTTATAAAGGCCCCTTCGATTTCTCGTTTACTCTGAAATTCAGTCAAGACTTTACCGTATTTGGTGGAAGTTTGAGCCTGGTTCATGCTCGAAAGATCTGCAAGGTCTTGGATCAAGCTATGCTCGTCGGAGCTCCTGTGATTGGTTTGAATGACTCGGGTGGTGCACGCATCCAAGAGGGCGTAGCATCGCTGGCCGGCTATGCAGATATCTTCCAGCGCAACGTGAACGCCTCCGGTGTCATTCCACAAATCTCTCTCATCATGGGTCCCTGTGCTGGTGGTGCTGTTTACTCCCCCGCCCTGACAGATTTTATTTTCATGGTTCAAGATACCTCATATATGTTCATCACAGGTCCAGACGTAGTCAAGTCAGTGACAAATGAGGATGTCACCCAGGTGAGTTACTTCAGTCTTCTCATCAACACTACTCAAACATGCTGTTAATGAATCTCCCTCCTAATTCGATTCTTGTCAGCTGGAAAATGAGGAACTTACTGGCAATGGCGTGTTTTCTGCCGACTAGTTTTATCCTAATTCTGTCCTTTAGGGCTGCCCCGGGGACGGTCACTGACGATCTATAGGCACAAGGCGATTTAACTTGAAAACAACGCCATGAAGAGTTGAATGCGCTATTCGCTGTCACCCTAGTGGACACATAGGATTCCCTATCTTGCTGGGCCGCGAGAAGTATTGCGTGTTATCTGTTCTGTGCGACGTAGCAAACGTATGGCTGTCGTAAATCTGTTCTTTAGGCTTCTGCATAGCAACATAAATGAGACGCAACGGGCATATGTTTAGATTAGTACCAGCATTTGTCGTAGTCCAAGGTACATTCGACTGTTTTATGACTGGAGTTAGTCAAATTCGACAGCTGAGTGGAACGTGGAAATGGTAAAACTGTGGCATAAGAGCAGAAAAGAACACTAGTTTGATGGCTGCAACAGACCAATGCGAGATAATGGTCGTTCTTGAATTCTGATCAGTTTGTTTCCCCCTGCAATTGCTATCCCTATCCACTGTGTTGATTCACTCCTTTGCTGTTTTCTCACCAATTTTCAGGACGTCGACAGCCCAGATTTCTATTCCCATTTTCACATTCCCGGAGACCAAGTCTGAACTACTTAGTATGGTCGAATGCAATCTGATTGATACCAAAAAATCATTTCCACGCTCGATATATGACGCGCTATATTACCTAGTTACGCCCATTGTCTTAGGTTGCTTCGCATTGGTGTCTTTGGAGTTCTCACTATCACATCACGATCGTAACGACTATACCCCATCAAGCCCTCACCCAGGTCATCAACATTCTAATAGAAAGTGAGATCAACAAGGACAGCGCAATAAAGTTTAGCAATTGAGCTGAAGACGCGTTCATTCCATTCACAGTTCATTGCAAGCAACAAAAGGTGCACTTACCTTGGAGTTAGAAATTTGATCAAGCAACACTTAGGGAACTTGGACACTTCACACATGATGGACAGGTCCACTTTCAAGTACGTCCCGAAATCATGTGAGCATTGATGCAACAGACTGGGAACTTCTGTGTGACAGGTCAAGCTGTGTCCGGACGGGTACCATAGCCTGACTTACAGTGCTTCATTTGGTTGGCCACCTCAGTCTCCCCTTAGGTTAGGTTGAATTTTGTTCGAAAAGCTGCGAGTTAGCGATGATGACAGCATTTTGATTGCTTGTGCTTGTTCCTGCGCAGTGAGATGGGAGGGTCTTGTGTGGTCATCGGAGCACCACAAATTTCGATTCAGTTTAACAACCACGACCCCCAGCTTTTGACATCTTTTAATGTGAAAAGGAGAGAGCGAAGAGAAATTTTGGCTTGATGATTGACAAGCGGATGGGTACAGCATAGTCACTGACTCTGTGACATCGCGAAGTCGACTTTTGGACGCCGTCTTGGTCCAACTCTTTGCTGTCGCAATTGTGTGCTATTTTAATCGGTAGCCTGTTGTTTTCCAGACTACACGGCTCCGTAAGTTAGCAATACTCCGCAGTCTGCCTATCTTAATACTATTGTGTCTCAAATGCAGTTATCTACGTCCACCGTGAGTAGTTGCTACAGGTGGTATTTATGTTACGGTCGTTTAGAAACATGATCGTGCTTGAGCATTTGGATCCACCCTTCCTCGAACAAATATGGCCCAACTTTTCCAGGATGTCTGTTGATTCCATTCTGGTCAGTCGAACCTGCAATATATTTCTGTTCTGTTCTGTTTTTCTAGGATGAACTGGGTGGTGCAAAAACTCATTGCAGTGTCTCTGGCGTGGCCCATAGGGCCTACCAGAACGACGTGGAGGCCATACTCAGTGTTCGTGACTTTTTGACCTACTTACCGTCGTCCAATAGACAGACATGCGCTCCGGTGCGTGAATGTCACGATCCAGTGGACCGACTGGTTCCAGCTTTAAATACGATTGTCCCACTGGAGCCTACCAGTGCCTACGATATGTACGAGGTCATCTATGTAAGTGCATTGTTCTCCTAACATGATTCTCATGTTTCCGCTTTAAAACTAACCATGCATTCACTGAACGTTGGCCGTATTGTTTCAAGTCGTGATGTCACATTAAAACCCATTTTACACCACACGAAAAGCATTTTTCTGCACTGATATTGCACCTATCATACTTGAGCTGAGAGAGAATTCACTGCCGCCACCAGTGAGCTCTCAGACACACAAACGGCCTTGACCTTCAGTCTCAGGATTTACTGATATACTGCTAACAGGGATAAAACTCTCATTCCAGTGCAAACCCCACTTTTGAATAGCACTTTAAACCCGAGTCCCTCCTTACTAAGAAGCTCTGTGGGCAGAAGTATATTGCTATTGTGGTTCGTTTTCTCATTACTGCACAACAAAGTGGATCATTCCTCATTCGCTAGATACTCTCATTTGCACACGAATTTGGTTTTGAAGAGTATTTGGGTTGGAGTTGAACACAGGGTTGATGGAAAACTCAGGAAATGTGCCTATCTGATGAGCCTCAAGAAGGGCGAGACCGACTGTCGAAGAGTTTTCGGCAACCTTACGAGTAATGTGTATGTCTCATCATTCGTACCTTCGATTCAAAAAGCGACTTCAACAGTGACTACATGTGTTTTGTGAACGAAGCAGATAACCTCAGATCACAGAAGTTATTTCACCCAGTTCCATACATAATACCCAACGTTTACCGTGTTCGCCTTACAGGTATTGATTTCATTTAAATCCAACTATACATTTGAGTGTTGTTCATCACTATAGAGTTTTCTAACAAGATGGCCAACTCATCACACTGAGCATGACGTCAGCTTAGCATTGAAAGAACTCTCTAAGAGGAGAGCACAACTAGTGCAACAAAGTATGTAGATCCGGAAATTCATACAAGGCCCATCTCTCAATTTCCTTTTCAATTGAATGTTTTTTTTCGGATCGCTTTGCATTGCATCAAAAGGAGGCTACACTGCCAAGCGAGCTGGGAGCCGTTGCGTTACACGGCTTGGTGTCCAACCTTCTCTAACGGTTTCCTTTTCAACGCTGCCTATATATTATGAGGACGTTGCAATTTGCATCAGCTATCCTGTCTGACACTCAATTGTCTGCGTTTTGAAGTATTTCCATATAAACACCATTGGTGGTGAACCTTAGAAAGTGTCCGTCACATTTAGCATCGCGTGTTTTGTCGCCAAGCCTTTCTCGCTTTCACGAGCATAAGCTTAGATCCACTAACACTCGTGCTACGAACCGGGAAACTTGAAATTGTGATCCCACCGAACCGCTCCAAAATGGACGGACATATATGGTACGACTCCATATCGCCCATTCACAAAACTCAACACCTGTATTTATTTCTTTGCTTACTGGATTCGGTGACAACGTTTAGTTGTGAGCCATGTTTTGGCCAGACGGGTCGGGGATTTTGTTCGTTTACTGTTATAGAGCTCATCCATACAATCTGGATAACAGTCGAGTAAGATTCAGCAAGTCACGTGGAATTCCTCCAATCATTTCGAACTCTTGACTTGCTGGATTCTGATTGCTGTGCATATGGAATTCGACGACCGAATTTCTTTGCTATAAAGTATTTGGCGGTTTTATCGGTATTGTCGCGCACCTCTTCTTGTGTTGCTTGCATTTCAATTCCTGGAGTTCTAGTTCTCTCATTTATTTGATTGCACAAAGTTTTCTGCTAACCATTTTCAGGCAATCGTGGATGAACGCGAATTTTTTGAAATCATGCCTTCGTATGCGAAGAACCTCATCGTCGGATTCGCTCGCCTTGGAGGCCGTACAGTTGGTGTGGTTGCCAACCAGCCCCGTGTATCAGCCGGCTGCCTGGATATCAACTGTTCGGTGAAGGGTGCTCGATTCGTTCGTTTCTGCGATGCATTCAACATCCCGCTCATCACATTTGTCGATGTCCCCGGTTTTCTGCCAGGAACTAATCAGGAATACGGTGGTATCATTCGACATGGAGCGAAGCTTCTGTTCGCCTTTGCTGAGGCTACTGTGCCTAAACTGACCGTGACCACGCGTAAATCCTACGGCGGAGCCTACTGTGTGATGAGTAGCAAGCACCTCCGTGGGGATATCAATTATGCTTGGCCCTCAGCGGAGGTATGTCTGTCAAGTGTCTGATGCCCAATTTGCCGTGCATGTTACTCGTTTTGGAAAGTTGGTTTCGCTGATCAGACTCGTTGAAAACAGGAGAGTTGTCAGACGTTAAAGACAGCTTCGCCCCATAAGTCAGTGTTGGACGTGCTGTTATAATGCATGTCCTCACTTCCTGCGTTATGTAACATGCTCGTTCAAATAGAGCTAGCGGTAATTATTTGATGTCCCGTCTTAGATTTTGGTTGATTTGAACAGTTGTCAAAACAAAGCAGCTTTCCGTGTGATGTTCACTGTAGGTTAAATCTTCCAGACTGTATCACAGAAAACGTACGTCTGTCCTGTGAACGCGCGATCTTTTGAACTTGATTCTAATCTTCCATCTTATGACTCGATACCTGTAGAAGTTTGACGGATTCTTCGCCCCAGTGTGGATGTTAACCACCACGAAACATCGTACCAAGTGGAGCTGAGCCTGGTGTCCCTGTGGAATAGGCATCTTCCGCTGCAAGGCAGAACTTTGGTATCTGTTCACTCGTAAATGAACATACAAAAACGCTTTATTGCCCAAAGCGCTTTCAACAGACACGTTAGCTGCACTGCTACCTTAGATCCTGTTTCCAATAAGTGTGAAGTATCTCAGTCACATGTGCATTCAACTTGCCAAACCTACACTTTCTTACAAGGGAGGGGCTCCCAAGAAGAGGTCAGCTTAGTCACTGAAAAATTTTTTTATGAATATGGTACCCCATACCCGAAACTAAAGCCTTGCTCACTCAGTTTGGATGAAAATTATCTATATCAGTTTGGAGACTGTCGGTGTGCACACCGGTAATGCTACCAGTGTAAGGAAGAAGGCCCTTCGCTGCGAAGTTGCTTATTAGCAAACACGAACTATCGGACAGGAAAGTAAAAATCTCCTTTGCACCTTGTTTGTAAAAATTGAACATCTTCATCTTCCTCGTCTTCTTTAGCTTTCGTGAATACTCACTGACTATCACGCAATTGTAAACGGACGCTACAACGTGGTTCCACAGGTCCGGTAATAATAACTCCCTACTTCCCTATCTTGCATATCCAGAAAGCCACACACTACTTTCAGACCTCATCAGTAGTATCCACCATTTTACCAGTGCCACTTGGTATATACACGAATGAAGTTTGCATAGTCGAGCTTTTGGAAGCAGGAATCATGCGACTTCTGGAAATGATATCGTGAATCGCTTATGCTTTCAGAGAAGTACATCGGGTTATGATCATTTTCTTCAACAAAACTGCACACTTGTACGTGTTCTATGGTGGGAAACCTAAACTGGTGTGATTTCTGGCTCCGACAATCTTGGATCGCCGTCCAGATCAATACACTGCATGACTTTCTTCAGGCTTACGTCGCATTCAAGTGCACTTTGCTTACAAACAGACTCCAGTGCGTTCCATGATACCTGACAAACCTGGTCGTTGGCTTGTTCGCTGAGCTGGGCATTTTGATTGCAAACGTTTCATCACCAATCGAGGTGACATCATCAGTGCGTTATTGGGGAGCGTAGTGGTGCGTAGCTGTGGGTTGGTGGTTGACCACCACTAACCCAACGCATCTACAACGAACATCTACGCTACCTAATCTACCAACATTACCCCCTGACAAACCTGTTTGCTAACGACTTGGTGGACTGCACAGAAATCAGCGACTACAGAACCATTCAGCAATTACGGGGAACGAAGAGACCTATCATGGAAGTCACGAGTTATCGTGCAAACGGGAACTCTGAATGATATGGCGCCTAGCTAATCTCAGTGGCATTCAGTGTCAGTTTCTTTCCAGGTTGTTGGTTGGGTGTTGGTGGTGTAGGCATGTTTGTGGTAGTCTAGTTCTGGTTCTCCCTCCATGCTCCACTTTTTTCTGGTATACGGTTTCATTCAAATAAACTGACATGGTCGAAGTTAGTGAAGCACCAGGGTTTTGGTCTGGTGTTTTCCAATTGCTGGTAGTGATGATAATAAAGGAAATGGAAGAGGCGAAGAATGCCAGGAGATTATTTCGGTTGATCTAGATGACCGAAAACTGCCGGTGAGTGGGACGATCAACGATGAGTGGCGCGACCATCTTCAATAAAAAACGACCCATTAATCGCCATACGGATCACTTTAAAGAACAGCTCTCGTGACCTATGCTGCTACTCACTCGGTTTATCGAACTCCACCGGAACCCTGGGCGGTGAACCTGGAACCCCATACGGCTTTAAGGGTCCGAGACTGCCCATGATTCCCAGCGTCGAATGACCGTCAACTGCATGTTCAAGTATGGAGGTGAAGTCATCAGATATCGCTTGTCTGATCTTTCTGCCTGCACCTGGGAAAAGGAGACTGTCTTGGGCAGCTGCGGAGAATCGATGATAGTGCCCACGTAAAAGCAGCCCGTAGTGAGTGCTAGTGGAAGCAGCGTCTCAGCCATGACGAAGTTATCAGGGTTACCAATGCCAAATTCTAAGGTCTTTCTTGAAGTGAATCCCACCACGCTGGTTTTGTCATGCTATGGGAGTGCTCTAGCACCGTTTATCTTAGAAAGATGTACGAGCACTTATTGGATTTGGTTGGAACTGAATACGAGGAAGTCAAGACAGACTTGGCAAAAGTCTATGCAGGTCTTCACGCCCCCCTCGAAGATTTTGTATCATCACCTCACGGAAAGGGGATGTGACTGGCGCAAGACGGATGCCACAATCTGTGATATTTAACTAACATGAATTTCACTCCTTTAATCTGTTTGTTGTCTTTCCACCTTGAATTTCACATAGGTCCATGTAATTGTGTGAATTAATCAATGAATAAATTAACATAGTACCGCTGAAATAGAATGATGAATTTGCTGTCCACCCCAACTGTATATAAAAATGCTACAAAACTATGACTAAAAGCGTGTTCCCCAGAGAGTGAACTCTTCCAAAAAAGGTCTATCTAGGGGTTGTGAACTCTCCGGGTGAGCATTGTACCATGTGGCTCTTCGGATGTTCTTGAATGAAGTGCTTACGGTCTAACTGATGGATCATTTCGAATTATCATGCGTTTTACCGTTCAGGTAGACTTATGAATTTCGTAATCTGAAAGGCAGACTGTTGTTACTCGCGACCATAAGGACGTTAGTTTGATGTACATTACAACCATGTAGTTTCTGTTACCACTCAGTGTCCGAGAAATAGGGTTTACACAGCTATGTTGAGTTTCGTGCATGCATTAGGTTGCTGATTGACATACTAACCGGACATATACAATCTAAGTCCTTTCAAATCAACTCGAATTCAGTAGTAGGCTGTTTGCGCGAATCACTTAGCACCCCCGTCGGACGCCCTGCGTCTTTGGTAGCTGTTTTGGCCTTACCCTGGTGATCGACAAACAGAGTAATTTGGAGACAGTGTTTATCATAACGTGTCATGTCTGTCCGGTTCAACTGCACAAACACTGGTCGTTTCCTGTTGTGAGCGGGTCAGTCTAATTATAGCATAGCCTGTGAACGAAGTGATGTCGAAACAGCTTCTGACACAATAATACGAAAATTGCAGGGCTGTTGTTTGTATGATTGCATATATTTTCGCCACAAGTCACGGTTACGAGTTAAGATTACGCGCGCTATTTAGCCAACAAAGTTTGTTCTGTCCAGGGTCGCATCCGGAGAGATGCACGGGGCCGACAGAACATAAGCACTGAGTGGTCTTTATCTGTTCACGGTTCTCCTATCAAGCAGGCACGAAACGGTCATCGCTGAGGGCACGTAGCTCGCATCCGGAGAGATGCACGGGGCCGACAGAACATAAGCACTGAGTGGTCTTTATCTGTTCACGGTTCTCCTATCAAGCAGGCACGAAACGGTCATCGCTGAGGGAGAGCACGTAGCTCCTGTCTAGGCTATTTTAGTTGGTAGAGTCAGGTTACCTCCAAAGCGAGCACTTGTTTGTGGACCTCATTTTTGCTAGTGAGGTGACCCCACCGTGCATGCCGAACAATTCGCACGCACATTACGAACATTGTCAACACGGAGAAGCCAGGCTTCACAGTCATACAGTCAAATGGAGCTAAATCTGGTCCTGTAGAGCCGCCGAGTTTCGTGTCAGCACCGTAAACGTCTATGATTGAAGAAAGCCAATCACGCCTTCGAAATTCGATGTTATACCTCATACCACCATCAAATACAGAGCTAGATAAAGCCGTCAAGAGTTTCCAACCGCACAGCACCCAAGGTGAGTGAAGCTGTAAGCTCATACGAATTTCGAAGTAACTTTGCATCCAGCGGGTGCGAAACGCAGCTCTGGCTGCTAGGTTTGATACGTCGTGCACGTGCACATAGTCTGCAAAGTGGACATTATCGTTAGCGTGATCTAGGCCTAAAACCGTGTTACTTCGGAGGAGTTTGCCTGTTGCTTTTCGTGAAATCCAGCGCAAACGAAGAAGGGATGGCGATATAAGGCCACTTTGTCGTATTCTGGATACAAGGCATGGCCAAAGCTTGCCCTGTGATACAATTTTACTGTACCCTCAGACTGCAGATAACGTTGTCCTCGTATTCCGCTTCACAGTAGACGGTCCCGTAAGGAGCCTTTCTCGGTGGAGTCGAAGACCTGTCTCCTAGCTGAGCTAACTACAGTCGTAGAGATACGATAGGTTTGTTGGCAATCCAGTAGCTGGTAAAGGACGAGAAATTGGTCTACACATCCACGTCCTAGGTGGAACCCAATCAGTTGTTCACACACTTTTCCGGTACTTTCGGTGAGTAGTGTGCGTGCGTAGCTGTTGCTGTTATCGCAACTACAGACGGTAGCAAGTCGGTAGCTCGATCGTTATCACAGCTGCCACAAGAACTGTGT